TACCCCCAACCTTATAGCTAGATCCAACTATTACCTCCAGGACCCCTGTACATACAAGTCCAACCTTATGCCTCCGGGAACCGTCGTTCCCCACCTATACCCACCAAATCAACAACCATCGATTTCATAGTACACGAGGGTACCATTCATTTCTCGGCCTGAAGCCCACTCCAACACATATGAGCCTATAGCCCAGTTCACAACTCCATAATTGCGTCATGGCCACCACGAGGACCACTGCCGTACCTTGGTGACTAATGTCCCATACCATTAATCGTGCAATCCAGGTACAGCCAACACACACAACGTCATCATAGGAATCAATGAACGGATCACAACGAAGATATGAAACCATACTCAATCAAGGAAGGATTACAATCCGACTCCAACGATGATCAACACAAGTTATCATCCACAAGAGGAAAGAACAAACCACACACACTAGCATTTCAACATCAAACTAGCATGCTTATCAAACGGGTAAACCAAACATAGTTCCGAAGAACGTACAAGACTCATCATGGTTCAACGAATCACAAGGTTGAACACTTAGTACGATTCAAGACACCAAATCCTACATGGATTCCTACCATCACGTTCTAGACATATGTAACATCAAGAAGACAATCAAATAGCCCAACAAAAGAACATCGGGAAATCAAAACATCAATTACCGAGTCAAAAGAATCACGGGGAACAAATCCCCAACAACCAACATAGTGTACCCCGCGGGAACCATCCCACAACACGCCTGTACCCCGCGGGTGGAGCGGCGGGTGGACCCCTACCCGCCGTTCCGCCCACGGGTACATGCCTGTACCAAAAATAATCCCTTCGGGAATTTTCAACACCAAGCTCAAATTCAAGTCCAAAACACCCAAAATCTCACAAAATACAACAATATGACTTGAATCAAAGGAATAGCTAAGCAATGACATACAAGAACCTAATAACAAGCTCTAGATATGCATTCCCACACGACAATGCATCAAATCTCACATTTCATAGCAAAAATCACAAGTAGAAGTCAAGAAATTATCATATAGGTAAGTAATATAGATTTTGTAAAGCATGTGTTACCTCTTGTAGTCTAAACCTTCACTTATTACACTTTAACAAGCTTCTAACAAAGCTCTCCTTCAATACCAACTTCAAGAACACACCACAAGACCATAAAGATTTCATCTTTAGGAAAAGATACCTTTAAAAGCACTAAAAACACTAAAGGACCAAAGATCTTACCCTCCTAGATGCTCAAGAGTAGGAAATGTGGAATCTTGGAGACAAACTTGGAAGATCTTGGAATGCCCAAAATTGGCTTGGAAGGTCTTGGAATGCCCATAACTTTATGATAGTAATCCTTAAAAATAGTAAACTAACAATAAGAGCAAATCTGCTTTTAGTTATAAACTATTCTGGCATTGCCACTCATATTCTTTTAGTTTTGTATCAATATATTTTGACTTTTATTTTATTGCCACAATTAATCCTTCATTTTTTTTTTGTCATTCACCGACTAATAAAGAGAGCTAACATATAATTTTAGAGAAAATTACACTTTTAGTCCTGTGACTATTGTGGTATTGTTAATTTGAGTACTTGACTTTAAAAACTATCAATTTAGTCCCGTAACTATGCAATTTTTAACACATTTGGTCCTTCCGGCCAAATCACCGGCCAAATGTCCCCGGAATCTTTTAATCCATTTTAATATTTTTTAATTTGGGGGCAAATCAATCATTTCCTTCATCTTCCTTCTTCTTCCTTCTTCTTCATCCTTCTTCTTCATCCTTCTTCTCCTACTCTGCAGATCGGAAACACGGGAATGGAAGAACATAATGGTTCTTCATTTCCTTCTTCATCTTATTGTTTATTGGAAAGCTCAAACCATAATTGTTGATTAGTACCCAACCAAAGAATTCATTACACGCATTCAACACACCAAATCATCATATGATAATGTCAAAAGGACATAATTTGTTTAGATGGAGATCAAAATAGTAAAGTCGACAACAAACTAATATCACATCTTAGCGAGGCAGGCAGTGCAGTCCCACAAACTATAAACATTTCTCAGGAATAAAGCAAAGAATGCTCACATCCCTGTGGCTTCGCCGGAGTTTTTTTGCGATGGGGATAAGGTGGTCGCATTGAATCTCAGAGATAGGTCACCGGGATTGACTGGAAGGATTGATCCGGTGATTGGGAAACTTTCAGGGCTGGCTGAGTTTAGCGTTGTTCTGGGGAGGATAACCGGTGCATTGCCGGAAAGCTTGTCGGAGTTGCAGAACCTCAGGTTTCTTGGAATCAGCCGGAACATTCTCTCCGGTGGGATTCCGTCGGGGAAAGCCTTCTTCTTCGTGAATACATTATGGAATCTGGCTTTTAGCATTATGTGTGTTAATAGCGCTTGCCCTTTCCGGCACTTTCCCGGCCTCCCTCGGCCACCGCGCAAGAAGAATTACTGCAATGACTCTTTTCTCTCTACTTCTTGCTGCCCATGCTTAGCGCTATGAGACTCATTATTTGAGCTTTGCAGCTTTGGATCGGAAACACGGGTCTGTGAATGGAAGACCAGATTTCTTCCTCCTCTTCTTTCCTCGCTGCCTACTTCTTCGCGTAAAACTTGATGCAATGACGAGGAGGGATTGAGGGAAGCAGAAAACAAGAACAAATTAACTTTCCCCCTTTTTTTTTTAAGCTTACAATGACCATTTTACCCCCATAAATAAACTATTTTAAAATAATTACGTTTTTCCGGCAACATTTGGCCGGCAATTTAGCCGGGAGGACTAAATGTGTTAAAAATTACATAGTTACAAGACTAAATTGTTAGTTTTTAAACTCAAGTACTCAAATTAACAAGACCACAATAGTCACAGGACCAAAAGTGTAATTTTCTCTATAATTTTATTATTCAAGTTTCATGTCCCAACATGTAATTTTTCTCCATTTCTTGTAAGCTTTTAAAATTGAATGATGAATTTATATGTTAGTCATATTTATTAAATGATGAAATAACAAAATTTTTTAAAAAGGCTAATTGTTGTAAACAAATAAAAGTTAAAGAATGCAATATGATAAAATTATCAAAAGAATAAGAGTAAAAATAATAATAGCACAAAAGTCTTTAACAATAACTACTGTGTTAACTAGGGGTGAGCTACAATTTGGATTATCTGAACTATCATTCGAAACCAAACTTTAATTTAAATTTCGGGTGAATTCGAATAGTTATCGATTCAGATATTTTAAAATTTGATATATCCGAATATAAATTTAATTCGAATATCGGGTGTTAAAAATTTACTTGAGCCGAAACCCGAACTAATCGAAATTTTATTATTAATATAATAATATAAATTATATATTTAATTTTAAATATATTTCATAATCAATAATATATTAATTCTCAAAAGTCTCTTAATTAGTAATTATTATTTTGTCTTATTTTTAGTTTGATAGCATATGAAAAAATATAAATACAAAAATAATAAAATCATTAAAAATTTCAAAATTGATAAAAAATAAAATATTGGTATATCCAAATTAACTTAAAATAATTTCACCCAAATTGAATATATCTGAATTAAATTTGATTAGGATATTAGGCTCTGTTTGGCAGAGCTTATTTAGGAGCTTATAACTTATTTTAAGCTACTGATAAGTCATAAGCTCTGTTTGGTAATGTTCCCAAAATAAGCTCCTAGCTTAAAATAAGAGCTTATTTTGGAACGCTACCTTAGGTAGCGTTTCAAAATAAGCTCCTAGCTTCCTAACTTTGTTTCCATCTTTATCCTTATTATTTTAAAGAAATGACATAATTTACCTTTCCTAATTAAAAGTCCCTTCTCTTCTCCTTTATCCGCAACTTTCACTGCAATTATTATTATTATTATTATTATTATTATTATTATTATTATTATTATTATTATTTGCAACAATATTGCTACTTCATTATGAGATGCTAGATTGTGATCATGCTAATAGTTTTATTTCAAAATGTTAATTTTTTTTAAAGATAAAATGTTAAATTTTAATATGTAAACAAACTAATTTAAATTTTATGAAGATGTCATTTTTAGTCTTTTTATATTTATCAGCTTATCAAAAAGTTAATTTTACCAAACACTTTCAATCATAATAACTAGCTTAACAACTCTTCAACTTTCAGCTCCGAACTTGCTTTTCAGCTTTTAGCTCATTTTCAGCTTTCAACTCCTAGCTTATAACTTTTCATCTAGGTTTGCCAAACAGAACCTAAATGTTAAAAACATCACTTCAAATTTTCAGATATCTGAAATAAAATTCAGGTATTACCTTAATTGAACCGAAGCCCTACTGTTAACACATGTTTTCCTCTAAATAGCACTACTTTCCCCAATTGGTCAATTGACTATTTTCTGTTTCCCATTTAAAAGAGAAAAAAAAAGAGTGTGAACATGAAAATAAAAAATGAAAAAATTCCGTATCAAACAAACCTTTGACTCAATCTGGCCATCTAGGATTCTGTGCACTGTTTTTGCTTTGCTGTTTTTATTTTTATTATTATATTTGTAATGCATACGACAGAATAGAGAATTATATCGTTAAAGTATAACATTTTTACGTTTCGGCTATGACACTTCTTCAAAATGTTGAATTCCTAATCTCAATGTCTTCATACTTTGAATAGATAGAGCATGTGACAGAATGTAAATCATAATAATTTAGTGACTCAATTATTTTAATAAACAGAACTAAATGTTAATATACACATTACTCATTTTAAACATAATCTCTACACTACTGTTACTAAATTTTAAATTTTGTTCTCTTCTCTCAAATATTACCTACTGAACTAGATAAATCCGTGGCAGCGTTTCAGCTCGGATACAGAGGAATGCGCATAAAGTATAAACATTAGAACATAATACGTTCATACACATATTTTTCTTTGTGGGGTATGGTAGCAGTTACACGCTTACACTTGTCTGATAAGAAGCCTTCTTGTCATGCCGTGTGTAACTGTGTAAGACTCCGGGCCTCTTTTGGTCATCCAACGTTTTCTTCTTCTTTTGCCGGTCTGGCTGCTTGTGGGAGTTCTTGGTCTTCTGGGTTTTTGTCAAAGATTGAATCTTTAGTGACATTGTTGTGAATTCAGGCTGCCCCAGAGGTGATCTCTCTCTCTCTCTATTTCTTTAAATTTTTTTAACCCATAGATTTTTGGCATGATATCTGAGAATTCTTCTTCTCCAAGTTTATATCTGAGAATTCTGGTCAAGATAGACGGTTGACAGTGTCATATTTTCCAGTCTTCAAGTTTATATATGCTAAGTCTTCACCTCCATTGTGTATATGTGTTTGTGTTTATATCTTACATATCTTGACCAAAAGTTTGTGTGTGTGCTTGTTTACTGAACCGGAGAAGATTGAATCATTGCATAGATTTTGGCTCATCTAAATTCTTGGTGAAATATCTTTACTGCATAATTTTTTTGTGAAAAAAAAAAAAAAAAAAAAAGTGTTGTTGAGTTTTAAGCTATGGGGTACTGTATTTAGTTTTGAACTCAAAATACTGAAAATAGTGTGAGTTTACAGGTTGAATTGATTGAGATTTTGCTTAGGTTACAGTTAGTTTAAACTCTTGCAATTAGCAAAGTTTGATATAAGATGTGGTTCAGAGTGGTGTCCCTAAGGCTAAAGTATTATTAATTTTCCAGCTCTTTACTGGGGTTATAAACATACATCTTGGTTGTGATTGAGATTTTGCTTTATCTTGCTATCATGATGTGAAAAATGGAATACTAATAAGGTTCTATTCTTCTTAAATCAGAATCTGCATTCTGCAGCGAGCTGAGGGTATTGTACTTCTTTAATTTGAAGACCATGAAGTGTTTCGCCCTATTCTTCAATGCTCAAAAGAAGGAAGAAGAACTGAATACAGTGAACTCAAATTCGGCCCTCTCCTCCTTATCTGGCTCTTCTGATCCTGAACTGCGGCCGTCCAGTCTTGAGTATAATTCTAAGACTGCATCAGATGCTAGTACGGAGTCCAGAGGAAGAACGCAGTTCCCGAATTTGTCTGAGAGGCCTTCTAATCTCAGGGTCTTTGCATTCTCAGAACTCAAAACTGCAACGAAAAATTTTAACCACTCAACCAAGATCGGGGAGGGAGGATTTGGACCGGTGTATAAGGGAACAATTAAGAATTCTGAAGATCCCACTAAAAGGGTTGATGTGGCCATAAAACAACTTAGCAGAAGAGGAATACAGGCAAGCTAAGCTACTTTAATTTCTCCTGTCATATTTCCATCAATAGCCACTCCTGTTGTTACGATGATGTTATGAGTTTCTTGGTTTATGCAACAGGGGCACAAAGAATGGATGTCAGAAGTGAATGTACTTGGTGTGGCTGAACACGAGAACCTTGTCAAATTAATTGGATATTGTGCAGAAGATGATGAAAGGGGAATCCAGCGCCTTCTGGTATATGAATATATGCCTAATGGAAGTGTGGAAAATCATTTGTCGGCCAAGTCAGAAACACCACTGTCTTGGATCATGAGGTTGAAAATAGCTCGAGATGCTGCACGTGGCTTAGAATATCTGCACGAGGGAATGGATTTTCAGGTTAACTTCTGCTCATTCCTTATGCCCGTTTATAGCAATACTAGGCACTCACAAAGAATTAAAGTCAAGCATATGATTTCTACGCTTTAAATCTGCCCAACTCCTTCCGGGATCAATCTCTAACCACCACATCCTTACTCAAAAGATAGGGAAAAGAATGGTACAACTCCATCCAAGTTGGTCAGACTATTGACTTGGTAATCATAATGTTACAAGTTCGACTCCCAACCGGAGCGGCCTATTGCCTTCTTGGCTTGAGCCGGTCAGCTATAGGCAACCAGGCTAGTTTACCTCGAGGAGCTGACCCTGGGGCTGTTGAATTAGCTGATAAGTGTAAAAGGATAAACTAAGATATTAAGATTTTGATTAATAAAGGGTAGATGGTGTCATTTTTGTAAATTAATAAAGATAAAAAAAGAAAGAAAAAAGTTAAAAAGCTAGGAGCTTATTTTGAAACACTAGTTGGATAGCGTTTCAAAATAAGCTATTATTTTAAGCTCCCTATGTTTTACCAAACAGAACTTAGCTTATTTGTAGTTTAAAATAAGCTATAAACTCTACCAAACAGTATTGAAGATGTAATTATGAATGATTGACATTGCCTGAAATCTGTGTCTTTGTTGGAAATTGTAGATCATCTTCAGAGATTTCAAATCTTCAAATATTCTACTAGATGAGCAATGGAATGCAAAGCTATCAGACTTTGGGTTAGCTAGGTTGGGTCCTCCCGAAGGGCGTACTCACGTCTCAACTGCGGTATGCACTTCCATAACAATATACCTTAGCTTTTTTCATAATATACTTAATTTAGCAAATTTCTTTTTCCTGCCAGTCTTGTGAACATAGTCATGGGCATAACATAGGTAATTATATATTATTGATACCGAACAATACTAGGAAAGTGAATTGCATTGAATGAGTTTTGTATCTTGTATTGATGTGATATATATTTGTGGTTGAACAGGTGGTTGGAACAATGGGATATGCTTCTCCTGAATATATTCAAACAGGTCGTCTCACATTCAAGAATGATGTATGGAGCTATGGAGTGTTTCTCTATGAACTCATCACAGGGAGACGCCCGTTGGATAGGAATCGTCCCAAGAGTGAGCAGAAGCTCTTGGAATGGATAAAGCCATATGTATCAGATTCAAAGAAGTTTCATATGATAGTAGACCCTAGGCTTGAAGGCAATTTCGTAAGGTCAGCTCAGAAACTCTCTGTTGTTGCAAACCGCTGCTTGGTGAGACACCCAAAGTCACGCCCAAAGATGAGTGAAGTTCTGGAGATGGTGAACAACGTTGCAGAAGCATCCACAGGATTGGGGAATCCTCGGCGGCCCATAAGATCTTCACATCCTATTCCAAATAAAGACGATATTGACAGAAAAAAAGTTAAAATATGTTAAGTGATATCAAAGTTGGAGATGGTGGCTGGCTACATTGGTGAGAGATTTATGATGACGCGAGTCATAGAAGGAATTACTAACGTCTTCTATTGATCATAAAAGTAGAGTGAAGTGCAAATTCTATTAGATTGGCTATACTAATGGCTGCAATGATTTGGTGGTGAGAAAGCAAATGCCATAAAAATATTGTTTTGCTTTAGAAGCCCTCGATCTATTCTTTTTGGAATTTATCCTTCAATTCTGTGTCAAAAGCACTGTGGTTGGCCATTAATATATCTTTCTATACTTGCAATGAAAGATTACTTTCTGGATTTCACTGCTTTGATTCAGCATTCGTTCGACATTAGATTTTAAGTGCCCAGATGGCAAAATTTTCCTCAATCTCCATCTCAAGTTGGAAATATCATTTTTTGTCCTTTTTTATCCTAGCTTTTCACCACATGCAGGGTATGATATATAGTCTTTCAAGTTTCAGAATGCAGGTCTAATGGCTTGGTTGAATGCAAAACTGAAAGTAAGAGATAGCTGCTGCCAGGTTAGTTTGTTTTAGCAGAGAAACAGATCAGTAAAGCCATCCTTTTGAGTCTGATCTGAGTACGAGTTTCTGATATGATATTTTGATGCGGTACATGAATTGAAGCAATAATGGTTAAGTACATGAATTCTAAGAGACATGCAGTTTGGTGGCTATTTTTATTGGAAATTTGGATTAACTTTAAATATTCTTAATATTTGTAATTCTCTTTATGACTATTTTACTTTTCCCATGCATGCTTTTAATATTTGCAACTCTTCGGTTTTTCTTAATTGTCTATTTAAACAGACTTTTGTATTGAGAAGTTCAAGTTTGAATATAATTGAAAGTCTTTGAGTTTGAGTTATATTGTGTGTGTTCTTTTGGTTTCCCTTGTTTTGCATCATATTTACTTATTCCCGTTTTCTTTGTGCAGTCAATGAGATAAAAGTGATGTTGAGCATGGAATATATAAATCTACGGTCTCACTATCAGTTAAACTTTTTGTTTTGGTTAAGACGGAACACATTTTTGACTGAGCTTATACTGTTAGCTTGGGCATTTAGGATCTTAATTTATTACACTGAATAGTCCATTTCACATGTTTATACTTTTCATATAGTGCATGCAGTTTGCTCCATGTCCAAGTAGAAGGGCTCAAATCAGAGCAGATGCAATATATGAATATGGATGTAATGGGGCTTCCCCATGCTATATCTGCTCTATACAAGAAGCATTTATTTCCTTCCCATACTTTTTTTTTTTTCTTACATATGATGAATATTTCTTTGAACCAAACCCCATGTTAGAACTAAAATTCAGATAGTGATGTAAGCATATAAATCACGTAAAAACACAAATACGTAATAAACAAGATCATAATTGATGCAGTAAATACAGGGCTTACTACGAATTTGAACGAAGTACGAGGTCGGACCGGGCTTCGGTCCTTGTATAGTCTGCTTGTTGGTCTAAGGGATTAAGCTCGGTTATAGGCGTGAGGCCAAAGGTTTCCGAGCTAAATAAAGCTATAGAGAAATTGTCAAAAGTCTCTCTTGCTAGAATTTAATGCGGTATTTATAGGGGCGAAGAGGGGACAGGTACCGGTCTTCCAGCATGCGTGGCACGTGAATCTCATGCACATGTACCGGTCGGGGCCCAAGGAGGTTAGCCCGCGTGTCCTTTAAGTTGCTGAATTTATTGGGTATGCTACCATCTAATTTTGCTAGCGGTATTAGGTCGACAGCTTGGCCCCGAGTAGAGCTGGCAATTATGGACACGACCTGTTAACACGGCACGAAACCGGACACGAAAATAATGAGTTAGTGTTTAGCCTTAACATGTCCCGGGTCGTTAACGGGTTGACCTGTTAAGGACCCGTTATGTTTCGTGTCTTAACGGGTCAACCTGTTAAACCTATTAAGAACCCGTTTAACCCGTTAATATTATAGTGTTAACCCGTTTACACGAACCCGTTTAGTCAAACCTGTTTAGAACCCGCTAAGAACCATTGTCATGAATGAGATTACTAAAGATATCATGGAACATGAGTACATGACTAATGATGAATTTACTACATTAGGCTAAAATCCTACACCAATTATTGATGTTCAACAATATGAAATTTGAATTTTTATTGTGTTCAATTTTATTCTAAAACTGGCATGGACTTCTTTAATTATGATTTTTGGATTTTATTATTTTATGAATGTTATAAATTGAATATTTTTTTAGTTTGTTTGATGGATTGAATTGTAGGTTTTATTTCTTTTATATATAACTTAACTTTAAATTTTAGTTTTTTTTTTTTTTTAAAAAAAATATAATAATAGGTTTAGTGGGTTTAAACATGTTTCGTGTCATATCGTGTCGACACGACCCGAAACCTATTAACAAAACGTATCTATCGTGTCAACTCGTTTAACCCGTTAACAAATCGTGTTCGTGTACGTGTTGCAAATTTGAACCCGTTAACCTTATCGTGTCGTGTTTGTGTTTAGCCTTATCGTGTTCGTGTCATTATCGTGTCGACCCGTTAACGAACCCGTATACACGAATTGCCAGGTCTAGCCCCGAGCTAATTAGCTCAGGGGCGGAGAGTTAATGCGGCTCATAAGCTTAATCGCCTCATGCTATGCTCGGTCGAAGTTTAGGTCGGGAAAGTGTACTAAATAGGTCGGCGATGACCGGGTCGGGATCTACTCACGAAATGGGTTCAAAACCGACCAAGTGTACATTATAGTCGGTTAGGGGATAATCCCTATGAAGTAGCCCCCTAGCTCGTGGCTTGATGACAATTCATGGAGGAAGAGTTTGGGCTAAAAATCTGAGCAACTATGAAGGGTCCTCCCCGCGAGCGTGGATTGGGTGCGATGCGGGTGTATGGATGAAGCGCGGATCGCCGCTCGCCCCACCTCCTGGGCACGTGTCAGCCATCTACTAGCTTTCTCGGGATTTGCGCGAGATTTTGGAATTTGAAAAGTTTTTCCCCCTTTTCACCCTATATAAATAGAGCATTCTAGGGGTTCCTATTTGCGCCTATTTCATCCTCTTGAGATCGGAACTTCTCGAACTACTACACTCAAGAAGATCTCCTTGCAATTTTTGCGTGCTTTCCCGGTTCAATCATCGATTTAGTCGATAAGTATCTCCTTTTGAACCTTTAGTTTTCCTGCTCTTTAGTTTATATTTAGGCACGCTTTATATGTCGCCTTGTTCCGAGCTCTCCTTCTAAAATGTCTTCCATTACTTTTAAGAGAAGACTTGTCGGACTCCGACAGCCAAAACATCTCGACCCGGGACTACGACGATGCGATCTAGATCGGTTCCTTCACGGTTTCCATGGACAACTTGACTATTTGGGAGATCGAGGTGTTCTTTGGTGATCAAGTGGAATTGTCTTGGGTCGCTGACGACCAGATCGGCCAACGACCATTTACTCCACCATCCGATGAAGAACCCGGGCCCTCCGCTTAAGGGAAATCGCCTTGGGTTGTTTTCTCTTCTCTCTTTTCTCTTCTTTCTTCCCTCCCGCGCTCACGTGCTACCACGACCTCTCCGGTTATTCCTTTTGGTGGTGAGCACTCAACTACGATCCGTGTTCCCACCATTTTGAGTGGGATGCACGTATACCTCAGTTGTGAGGCCATGCAACAACATCTTTATCTCCTTACCCGAGCCGAAGTCGAAGAGGTTTCTTCACTTTTGACCAGCCGGGTTCGTTTCGATAGTCACCGGTCTCTAGGTAACGTTATTGAGCACCATTAAGATGATTGGTTCGGGATTCACCTCGACTCCCTCAAAGCTTAGCTGATGTTCCCATTCTCCCCTTTCCTTATGTCTTTCCTTTTCTATTACGGGGTCTTCCCTGGTCAAAGCAGTCCAAATGTACATCGCATTTTGGCCTGCTTCCCTAAAATTTGTGCTCGGCACAATTTCCCGTGCTTAATGGACCCTTTTCATTTTCTTTTCTTTGTCCATGCACTTCCACATAAGCACAGGAGGGGGAGGGGGGTGGGGATTTATCACTATTCATTCCTGGGACCACCACTGTAATATAACCCACCACCCGGACAACAATAAGGGGTGAAAGAACCGGATCGTCTTGGTCGAGGTTAAGTGGCGTCTACTAGTCCCCCGAGTTTGGACTTTCAAATTTCACAAGCACACCCACCCGACCAAGACCCGGGCTCTAAGCACACTAGCGATGAAAATATCATCCGAGTTTTACGACTATCACATCTTCCGCTTGCCCGAGGAGTACGTTGTGGCCAGTCTCCAAGATCTGAGATACAATCTGGAAAACAAATACAGACCCGAGTCGAAGGCTATTACAGTCGAGGTTCCCCCTCCAACAACCGACTCGAGCGCTGAAGGTTGAGACAAAGAATTTTTGTGAGTTTCCCTTAAGTTTTACATGTCGGGAGTTTTATTTGTCAAGATTTCGACTTACTTTCTTTACTCACTTCTAGGTATGGGCCTATACAAGGGATACAACACACGGACCTCCACCCCCTAACAGCCCCAACCCAAGGTCGCCCTGGGTGGGAGGAAGGTTAGTACCTATGAGACCGCCCCTACCGAACCGGCAATCTCGACAGCCATTCCTCTATCAGCTGCGTAGCCCACCAGCTCGGGTCCCGAGCTACAGATTACTTGGGTCTGCAACAAGAGGGGGAAGGAGAAAGCTTCAAAACCGGAGGTCGAGGAGGTGGCCCCCTTAAATGGTAGAAACGGGATAACTCCCCGGGTCAAACTCCCGTTATTGACGTTTTGCTAAGAGGGGAAGATCATCTAGCCGCCTTGCACAAAATTTGCAGTGTTGTCCCTTGCGAGAGCAAAATAAAGTGGACGGCCACACTGGTTGGCGAGCGGGAGGCCAGGGATGTCATGCAGGTTAGTAAATTCTTCCCTTTTGCTTACTTAAATCACAGTTGTTTGCAGCTGGCCCACATGGTGGCCGACCTCTTCTATTGAGCCCAAGTCACCGAGAACATCCACCAGAAGGAGGTCGATCCTTTAAGCAAGATCTTGGCCTGTCGTGAAACCAAGATCCGAGATCTGGAGAAGAAGCTCGGTGTTATGGAGGAAAAACTGACAGCAGCCGAGTAAGAGGCTGAGGAGGCCAAACTGAAGATCAAGTCTGCCATCTCTGTAACACCCCGTGTTACGGCCCCTAAAACCATTTAATTAATTAATCAATAGCCCAAGAGAAAGAATAAATCATAATGATTAATTAGGGAAAAAGGCCAACCATAGTCCATGGGCCTTCATATATAAACCCAACCCCTAAACCCA